AGGAACATTCCTGTGAAGTTTGGATGAAATTGGCTTAGTGGTTTATGAGGAGATGTCATTTAAAGTAAAAGTTAACTGACGGACGCCGGACGGACGCCGGACGGACGCCGGACGAAAAGCGATCACAAAAGCTCACCCTGTCACTTTGTGACAGGTGAGCTAAAAATGGAAGCTGGTTCTGAACAAGTCCAAACAATGGAAGCTGGTTCTGAACAAGTCCAAACAATGGAAGCTGGTTCTGAACAAGTCCAAACAATGGAAGCTGTTCAGCATGTTAAGAATTAAATCCATATACTCTTGAGTAATGATACTTAAGGGGCACAAGTACAATCCAGAAACTAAATGTCTGTGGCATTTTTATGGATTCTGGAATCCGTTCATACCGTGGCACAAAATATCCAAAACACCCATATAATACCAAAATATTGCCAAATATACCCAAATATAGCATATTTGGACACATTTGGGCAATATTAAGGTGACTTTGGGTGTACTTGGGTAAATTTGGGTGTATTTGGGTATTTCATGCTGCCCTTGTTCATACCTGCTCTTCTGCATCATCGGCCTTCTCTAACATCTGTATAGGTTTTCTCGGGATGACAAGAAAATGTGTGGGAGCCTGAGGGCTCATATCATTGAAGGCAACACACTGAAAATTTCAATACATTATATAAATGAAGGCTCCAAATTGATAATATCAATACATTGTATAAATGAAGGCTCCACACTGAAAATATTAATACATTGTATAAATGAAGGCTCCAAATTGATAATATCAATACATTGTATAAATGAAGGCTCCACACTGAAAATATTAATACATTGTATAAATGAAGGCTCCAAATTGAAAATATCAATACATTGTATAAATGAAGGCTCCATACTGAAAATATCAATACATTGTATAAATGAAGGCTCCAAATTGAAAATATCAATACATTGTATAAATGAAGGCTCCACACTGAAAATATCAATACATTGTATAAATGAAGGCTCCATACTGAAAATATCAATACATTGTATAAATGAAGACAAAAGTAACATACTGAAAATATCAATACATTGTATAAATGAAGGCTCCATACTGAAAATATCAATACATTGTATTAATGAAGACAACAGTAACATACTGAAAATATCAATACAATGTATAAATGAAGGCTCCACACTGAAAATATCAATACATTGTATAAATGAAGGCTCCACACTGAAAATATCAATACAATGTATAAATGAAGGTCACACACTGAAAATATCAATACATTGTATAAATGAAGGCTCCAAACTGAAAATATCAATACATTTATAATTGAAGGCTTTACACAGACAATATTATTACATGAGTTTTATACCTGAAAAAAAATCCAGGGGTCTAATCAAGGAGATTGCCATAGACAACAGCATGGAGCTTTATGATCACTGGCATAGAGTGCCAGTAAATAATAAAGCTATAGACTACCTGTGTTACTAGTCATCAGTAGGGCATACCGTTTTAATTTATTTCATTATAACTGTTTATGATAAGGTACAGATCCATTTCGAAATAAAAGAATCAAGTCAAATATTGAATTTATATCAAATAAATGTATTCTTTCATAGAGTAAATGAAATTTATTTGGCAAGTACGACACTGCTCGAGGACGAATCGTACAATTAATTTCTGTTACTCTTTTTCCTAAGAAATGAGAGGAATGTCATTTGATTGTTTATGACTAACATAATTTTTTACCTTGTCATCTTCGTAAATAAATTTACAAGGTATGTCGCCTCTAGCTATTTTTCCAAATATAGTGTCTTCTGTCGGTTCAGCCACTTGGGCTTTCGCTATTTCGTCAGCCATATTTAGTGAGCTTAAAGACAGGATAAAATGGCGTAATGTAGTGTTAAACAACGCAAAGTTGTGTAATGCGGTATTGTTTAAAAAGTAGGTGGCGTTTGTATTTTATAAAATTTTCCTTTACTGTAAGTATAGTGGATATTGCAATATACGTTTAATTACGTTAATGAATAAAAAAAGTGTAAAATAGGAAAAAACGGAATTCCTAAAGAAAACCCAAAACGACATAATTGAATTAACTAGAGATTAACATAATATGTTATCTTCTTGTCTTGTAAAAATGTATCACCTCTAGCTACTGAAGCATAATTACATTATATATTAATAACCAATATCCTGTTGATGTTTTCTGTTATCAGTAGAAATAGAAAGTAATATTTCAGATTTTGCTACTGTTATTTATATATATTTTTCATTATGATATGTTGGTAGAAAAGTGTGAAATCTTATTGGTCCATGGAATTTAATCTAGCTAAGTGTGAAAATTTTAGAAAGGCCAAGAGAGAAAAACATTTTATATTTCCTAATATCAACTACATAGCAAAGAACTTAACACATTGGAGCTGCTTATTATTTAGGCCTAACAATAAGGTAATTAAAAAGATTTAGTCTGGACAATCACATTAGTCAAATATCACAACAGCAAAAGCTAAAACTCACAGATTTATAAAGAAAGGACTGATTTTAACTTCAATCATAAGGTCAAAAAAATTGCCAATATAACTTATGTAAGGCTCCAGTAAGACCATTGTTCCACAGACTTGCATCCTACGAAAAAATCTCACCCTCTGATATCATTCTTAAGAACATAGTCCTTGTATGCTACTGCTAGCCCAAATTTTTAAAACATATTTACATGGCAATTAATTGTATCTCTTCTAACTAGATAACTTGTAAGCCAATAAAGATTTTATCTTTTATCTTAGTTTTGTAGTTCCTTTTGCTTTTGCATACTTATTGCAATCATTATCAGTATATACTTTTTGCAATCATTAGCAGTATACTAATTGCAATCATTAGCAGTATTATGTCCAGTGTACAGGAGAATCAGTCAGACGCTACCATTTTGTCTTGTTGATCTTTTATTTTATTGATCTTTCAAATCGTATCTTTTGATTTAAAAAGTGTAAATACATTATTGTACTATACCCGAAGTCAGAAGCATAAGAATGTATTTTCCTTTGATTTACAGTTGAATGGATTATCATTGACTTGTTGATTACAAATAGAAAGACCCTGATTATATTTATAAAAATAGCTTTATAAATATCTAAAAGAAAATAGAATATACAAAATGCCTGGGCTTGAAAGAAAAATTCGAAATTCTGGAGATTAAGACACAAAAATACGCGATAAAAGTTAGTAAAAAGATAAGTTATAAAATAACTTTAGTATGTAGGTTTTGAGCTATATTTACCCAAATACTCGGAATGTGACGGAAAGGACCTTAAAGTGGCGGTAACGTGTATTAAGCGTTTTGCATATTTACATAGTTATCAAAATGTAAATTTTTCAATGAAAACATTACGATAAATTTCGAATCATTTTGTCCCTCTATTTTAAATTGATAATGAGTCACCTCAATTGTTCATTGAAAGTGGATCTACCAATAGTTTCGAAGTGTCACGTGATAACAAAATGGTGGATAAACTAACTTCCGTGTTACGCTCCAAATCATAAACTTTGTAAATATCTTTGAATTGCGCACAAAAATTTATGTATTCACAACTAAACAAAGAATAGAATAATAGGCTATCATGAAATCATTAGAAGCGAAAGTTGTTGTACTCGGATCTCAAGGTATTTTCCCTTTTTTACTAAGATTTATTACAAGAAACTAATTTTAATAACTGTTAAATTGTGTTGATGACGTAACGATCAGCTGTTAATTACTAATATTGGATAAACTTTAGAATATGTCCGCAGCTATTTTTAACACACAATTATTTCTACAATATATATCAATTTATGTTTCTCTAAACATCACGCAGATTAATAAGAATTAGGGTTAGTGTTATGGGTTAGGGTTAGTGTGTATATTGGTTAGGATTAGAGAGTTAGGTTATAACAAATGAATTTTGCTGTGTTTAGATTCTAAAAGTTCTCCCTAATATTAGTTATATGTTGCCTACTCAGAAATTATAGCTTTAAAGTTTAATTGTGTCCGTTTTTATTCTGCACTGTATAATTATATTCTTCACTATTTTTACTCTTTTTTTTCCTCTTGCGCATTAACCTGACAGTAAACTTTTAGTTAGTTGAATGTGGCCATATATTGGAAGAAGAAGAAGATGAGATTTCTCTTGTTTACATAAAATAGATACCTTGTATTTTTACTTATCTCTATATATGTGTCTGCCTCTCCATTTTGTGGGTTAAATACACTTATAGAAAGGGCAATATAATAAGTTGCCTATGTTAAAGTATTTATAAAGTTTATATTTCTGTTTGAAATATCTAAGTTTTGATATTGATGCTAAAATAAAAACTTTAAAAGATAAAATGTGAAATTTATATGCCATATGTTATTGTACATGTACATGTATGATGTGTGTGGAATTGTAACTTTATAATATTAACCAAATCTCCGGTATCGGTTCCACCCAGCAGGTACCATCAGAGTGTAAAATCACTATGAAATGCCCTTGCACTATGTGCTGGACATACCCCCAGCCATTTTGCTGCAGAAACAAAACGACAGCATTTTCCAAGCGGCATTTGGACAGAAGAAAGGTGAAAATAGGCTCATTCCTCCCCTCTTATCCATAACCTGTCCCTAGTATTGGTGAGCTCAGGTAACAATTGCTTGACCAGTGCATGAACAATTTATAAATCATTGAATGATTACTGTTTTTTAAAGCTTATACTAAGGAAGGTTAAATGAAAAATGGCTGAACTTTCAAAATTTATAATATCAAACTGTTAAAGAAATTGCCTTACCAGAGTTTCATCAATATATATGTTATTGAATGATACCATTACTATCAGTATGACATCACATTACATTGCACATGGTGTTACTGGTAGTTATGATGTCATACATGGTAATACTGGTGGTTATGATGTCATACATGGTGATACTGGTGGTTATGATGTCACACATGGTGATACTGGTAGTTATGAGATACTGGTGGTTATGATGTCATACATGGTGATACTGGTAGTTATGATGTCACACATGGTCATACTGGTAGTTATGATGTCATACATGGTGATACTGGTGGTTATGTCATACATGGTGATACTGGTAGTTATGAGATACTGGTGGTTATGATGTCATACATGGTGATACTGGTGGTTATGATTTCATACATGGTGATACTGGTAGTTATGATGTCATATGTGCTGGTTCTGGTAGTAATGATGTCATACATGGTGATACTGGTAGTTATGATGTCATATGTGCTGGTTCTGGTAGTAATGATGTCATACATGGTGATACTGGTAGTTATGATGTCATATGTGGTGATACTGGTGGTTATGATTTCATACATGGTGATACTGGTAGTTATGATGTCATATGTGCTGGTTCTGGTAGTAATGATGTCATACATGGTGATACTGGTAGTTATGATGTCATACATTATGGTACTGGTAGTTAGGATGTCATACATGGTGATACTGGTAGTTATGATGCCATACATGGTGATACTGGTAGTTATGATGTCATACATGATACTGGTAGTTATGATGTCATATATGGTGATACTGGTAGTTATGATGTCATAAATGGTGATACTGGTAGTTATGATGTCATACATGGTGGTACTGGTAGTTATTATGTCATACATGGTGATACTGGTAGTTATGATGTCATACATGGTGATACTGGTAGTTACGATGTCATACATGCTTATACTGGTAGTTATGATGTCATACATGGTGATACTGGTAGTTACGATGTCATACATGCTTATACTGGTAGTTATTATGTCATACATGGTGTTACTGGTAGTTATGATGTCATACATGGTGTTACTGGTAGTTATGATGTCATACATGGTGATACTGGTAGTTATGATGTCATACATGGTGATACTGGTAGTTATGATGTCATACATGGTGTTACTGGTAGTTATGATGTCATACATGGTGATACTTGTAGTTATGATGTCATACATGGTGATACTTGTAGTTATGATGTCATATCTGGTGATATTGGTAGTTATGATGTCATATATGATGATACTTATAGTTATGATGTCATACATTCATTGGACAATCCAATTTCAAAAATTGTGCTGAATCCATAACACAAACCCATCATGTTGTTGGTTAACCTAAACTATTTTATAATTTTTCATAATCTTAAAAAACTTGATCTGTATACTTTAATTCCTTGATTGTTATTCAGGTGTTGGTAAAACAAGTGTTGTAATCAGGTATGTTGGTGGAATGTTTAGTAAAGCTGTGAGTCCAACAATTGGGGCCTCATTCTTTACCTATAAACTGTAAGTATTCATAAGGTCTATATATAGAGTCAGATAAACAGTTACCCTGTCTTTTAATTATAGCTGTCATCGATAGAGACAATATGGTTGTATCGTTGATATTTTTCTGTCGATCAATTATGATGAAAAAATTGAGAATTTGGATTAATTATTTAGATGTCTAGAAATTATGAAAATTCACTTAAAACTTATTCAAAAGCAGGTGGCCATGTCTAAGCCGTTGTTACATATTGGACAGATGTCATAGCAGTAATAACAAAAAATGATAAGAAAACAAATCATTCAAAGGACATTTATAAACAGGACAAAACATTGATATGAACGGAACATGTATTTTATTAAGATCATTTAAATAGGTATAAAAAGAAATTATCAATATTGGTGTATCACTGATATTTGTCATCAGGATCCAATATTGATATATTGTCAATATGCTATGAACTGAATCAATGACAGCTCTACTTCTGATACATGAATTCTTTATTCTCAGTTTTCATAAATGTACATTAATAATAATTTTCTCATATTTGTGTTTTGGGAATATTTTTCTTTCCCTTGCTTTTGAAATGAATAATAATTTTTTAAGGAAACAAATTAAATTGTATTTATTTATTAAAACCGCAATTTACATAATGTCAGGATTAAATTTCATTTCATGACAAAATCTTTAATTCATATTGAATATGAAAAGGACATTAAGTTTGTCAATTTTCAATTTAAAAATTATTTCAGAAATGTGGACAATTATAGAGTAAAACTTCAAGTATGGGACACGGCTGGCCAAGAAAGGTTTCGCTCAATGGTACATATAAAAACCTTGTAATATTTTAATCGTTACATTTTTTATACCTTTCAACCCTTGTTTTATGGGAAGGTTTTACCTATGTCATCCATGCTTATGCCTGAAAAAAAATAAGAAGGGTCTACGAGTTCTTTCACAGTCAATATACAGGTAACTGGAAAGTCAAAATATGACTTTTTATTTGTTTGGGTCGTCAGACCAAACAAATAATGGTAGCGAAATTTCAGAGCCTAATGCTGTCAATTGCAAATGCCTAAAGTAGTCCACTTTTTTCCAGCGGTTACTTCCCTTTATATGTACACTAACGCCGAAAAATTCAGGGGATATCAATGCGTAAAGATTGTCAAATGACAGGCGCATTAATTTTCAAGCAAAGTAGTTCCCGAATGGTCGAAGATTTCTAATATTGTTTCATTCTTTATACATGCTTACAGTAAGCTCCATGATTATTTACATCTGTGTTTAGCGTCGAAATAATAAGATTTAGAATAATGTGGTTTTCTTCAGGCCGTTTAACATATAACTTCACAGTGGCCGAGGGGTTTGCACGCTCATTTAGGAAGCGAGAGGTCTGGAGTTCAAATCCCAGTTGAGGCAACTCATTTTTTTAGAATTTTTATTTTAAGTCAAATAAACATTGAATTGACTATCAGTGTTGCAATTAGTCTTATAGCCAATTTACTACAGTTAAAACACTGGAAAGCATTGGTGGCACTATACAAAAACAAATTGGTTTATAATCTCACAACCTTCACCTTTCTGACATTCTGAGACCCAAACAAATTCAGCGCCTTCTGTGTTTGATTTCAAAGTGTCAGTGTGACTTAAAATCCAACAAATATTTTTATTGGACTGTCTATATCTAGATCTGTATTGGACTGTTGGAATGTGAACTTAGTAGTTTACAGGACTATGTATCTAGATCTATATTGGTCTGTTTCTTGGACTGTCTGTATCTAGATTTTTATTGGACTGTCTGTATTGGACTGTCAATATAAAGGTTTATATTGAACTTTCTATATCTACATCAATATTGGACTATCTGTATCAAAATCTGTATTGCACTGTGTATATCTAGAGCATAAGACTGTCTCTATTTAGATCTATATTGGATTATCTGTATTGAACTATCTAGATCTAGTTTTGTCTGTCTTTTTCTACATCATTATTGGACTACCTGCATCAAAATCTATATTGGTCTGTCTGTCTGTATGTATATCTATATTGGTCTGTCCATATCTAGATGTATATTTAATTGTCTATATTGAACTGTATTAATTTAGATTGCACTGTGTAATTAAATCTATATTGGACTGAGTATATCTAAGTCTATATTGGACTGTCTGCAGCTTATTTTTATTGGACTGTGTGTATCTAGATCTATATTATGATGATTTTTTTTCAGGCCCCAATGTACTACAGAAAAGCAAATGCTGCCATGTTGATATATGATATTACATCTTCAGATACATTTTATGATATTAAAGACTGGGTCAGTGGTAAGTATATAAAATAAATAAATTGAGGCAGGGGACCATGTGCTTCAGGTGTATTCCCATATCAGAGAAAAAGTAAATTAAAAATTGACTTTCTTCAGTATAAATATATCCACTAATATTCATTGCATAAACACATTCTTTGGGAAAGTTATCATTGTTTACCTTCCAGTGTTGAAAACTTGGTTTACAGAAATTTATTAGAATTTATTTTAGTATGATTGTTTATGTTGAAAATTATAAATTATAGACACATTCTAGAATGAATTTCTGAAACTTTAACCAGTATGACCAATTTAACCAATACTGAGCTGTTATTGTGAAGTTTCTTGCACAAGGAAACAACAGCTAATGCCTCTGACAGGTTTTAAACCAACTCGGCCAAAAACCTTGTCAATAGCTTAGAATATTTATAAAGCCTAGAAATCTAGTAACCCTTAATCTGGGATGACTGAATATACCCATGCAACCAGTGCAGACCAAGCACATTCATGCCGTCTGATTGTGGTCTGCACTGGTGGTAATTCAGTCAGTACTTATCTTGAAATTTTCCCTATAAAATGATGCATTCTTTTGTCCCAATCAAAACCTGGACAAATCCATTTAAGATATTTCTCATTGTAAAGATTAAGTGAAATTTGTTTGTTCTGTACTACTATATGTTATCATATATTTTATTTGTAAAAGCAATTTCTTTTTCTTTTTTTTTCAGAACTAAAAAGGAATGTTGACACACCTATAAGTAAGTTTAATTTAGAATAATATTCAGTAAGTAAAATTATAAATAACCTTTTTTGGAGCAAAATATTACAGGTATTTGTTTGTTTGGCATTTAAGATTAGGATATATTTCTATAGTGAAAACCAGATGTCAGTACAGTAACATGTTTGGTTGGTAACATAATTATGATTTATGTTACAGTAATGTGTCTGGTTGGTAACATTATTATGATTTATGTTACAGTAAAGTGTCTGGTTGGTAACATAATTATGATTTATGTTACAGTAACGTGTCTGGTTGGTAACATTATTATGATCTATGTTACAGTAACGTGTCTGGTTGGTAACATAATTATGATTTATGTTACAGTAACGTGTCTGGTTGGTAACATAATTATGATCTACGTTACAGTAACATGTCTGGTTGGTAACATAATTATGATCTATGTTACAGTAACATGTCTAGTTGGTAACATAATTATGATCTACGTTACAGTAACATGTCTGGTTGGTAACATAATTATGATCTGTGTTACAGTAACATGTCTAGTTGGTAACATAATTATGATCTACATTACAGTAGCATGTCTGGTTGGTAACATAATTATGATCTACGTTACAGTAACATGTCTGGTTGGTAACATAATTATGATCTACGTAACAGTAGCATGTCTAGTTGGTAACATAATTATGATCTACGTTACAGTAACATGTCTGGTTGGTAACATAATTATGATCTATGTTACAGTAACATGTCTGGTTGGTAACATAATTATGATCTATGTTACAGTAACATGTCTAGTTGGTAACATAATTATGATTTACGTTACATAACAGTAACATGTCGTTGGTAACATATTATACATGTTAACAGTAACATGTCTGGTTGGTAACATAATTATGATTATGATCTTGTTACAGTTAGTAACATGTCTGGTTGGTAACATTATTATTATCTATATTACAGTAACATGTCTGGTTGGTAACATAATTATGATCTATATTACAGTAATATGTCTGGTTGGTAACATAATTATGATCTTGTTACAGTAACATGTCTGGTTGGTAACATAATTATGATCTACGTTACAGTAACATGTCTGGTTGGTAACATAATTATGATCTACGTTACAGTAACATGTCTGGCTGGTAACATAATTATGATCTACGTTACAGTAACATGTCTGGTTAGTAACATAATTATGATCTACGTTACAGTAACATGTCTGGTTGGTAACATAATTATGATCTATGTTACAGTAACATGTCTGGTTGGTAACATAATTATCATCTATGTTACAGTGACATGTCTGGTTGGTAACATAATTATGATCTATGTTACAGTCATGTCTGTTGGTAACAGTAAACTATGTAATCATGTCTGGTTACAGTAACATGTCTGGTTTGGTAACATAATTATGATCTATGTTACAGTAACATGTCTGGTTGGTAACATAATTATGATCTACGTTACAGTAACATGTCTGGTTGGTAACATAATTATGATCTATGTTACAGTAACATGTCTGGTTAGTAACATAATTATGATCTATGTTACAGTAGCATGTCTGGTTAGTAACATAATTATGATCTTGTTACAGTACCATGTCTGGTTGGTAACATGATTATGATCTATGTTACAGTACCATGTCTGGTTGGTAACATAATTATGATCTATGTTACAGTAACATGTCTGGTTGGTAACATAATTATGATCTTTGTTACAGTAACATGTCTGGTTGGTAACATAATTATGATCTGTGTTACAGTAACATGTCTGGTTGGTAACATAATTATGATCTATGTTACAGTAACATGTCTGGTTGGTAACATAATTATGATCTATGTTACAGTAGCATGTCTGGTTGGTAACATAATTATGATCTTGTTACAGTAGCATGTCTGGTTGGTAACATAATTATGATCTATGTTACAGTAGCATGTCTGGTTGGTAACATAATTATGATCTATGTAACAGTAGCATGTCTGGTTAGTAACATAATTATGATCTACGTTACAGTAACATGTCTGGTTGGTAACATAATTATGATCTACGTTACAGTAACATGTCTGGTTGGTAACATAATTATGATCTACGTTACAGTAACATGTCTGGTTGGTAACATAATTATGATCTATGTTACAGTAACATGTCTGGTTGGTAACATAATTATGATCTATGTTACAATAACATGTCTGGTTGGTAACATATTATGATCTATGTTACTGTAACATGTCTGGTTGGTAACATAATTATGATCTATGTTACAATAACATGTCTGGTTGGTAACATAATTATGATCTATGTTACTGTAACATGTCTGGTTGGTAACATAATTATGATCTATGTTACTGTAACATGTTTGGTTGGTAACATAATTATGATCTATGTTACAGTAACATGTCTGGTTGGTAACATTATTATGATCTATGTTACTGTAACATGTCTGGTTGGTAACATAATTATGATCTATGTTACAATAACATGTCTGGTTGGTAACATAATTATGATCTATGTTACAGTAACATGTCTGGTTGGTAACATAATTATGATCTATGTTACAATAACATGTCTGGTTGGTAACATAATTATGATCATGTTACAGTAACATGTTTGGTTGGTAACATAATTATGATCATGTTACAGTAATGGGTCTGGTTGGTAACATAATTATGATCCATGTTACAGTAACATGTTTGGTTGGTAACATAATTATGATCTACATTACAGTAACATGTCTGGTTGGTAACATAATTATGATCTATGTTAAAGTAACATGTCTGGTTGGTAACATAATTATGATCTATGTTACAGTAACATGTCTGGTTGGTAACATAATTATGATCTATGTTACAGTAACAATGTCTGGTTGGTAACATAATTATGATCTATGTTACAGTAACAATGTCTGGTTGGTAACATAATTATGATCTATGTTACAGTAACAATGTCTGGTTGGTAACATAATTATGATCTATGTTACAGTAACATGTCTGGTTGGTAACAAGTGTGATCTACAGGATGGTAGACAGGTGAAGGAGGAAGATGCCAAAGATTATGCTGATTCTATAGATTCTCTATTCTACGAAACATCTGCCTTGAAAAATACAGGTATTTATGCTCCATTTAGTTCAAACATATATTTATTTAAGCTTGATTGTAAAACAACTTCTTGGAACTTACATCAATCACTTCCGAGTCCGCTTCCTGGAACCAAGTAGGGCTCAAACCCATAATCCCTTGGTTGAAACTAGGCCACCGCTCCCATTTTGTACTGCCCTGCTCTTACACTCGAAATTCTAAATTTAGAATTGCTTTTCACTTTTTGCTGAAAGCGATTTTCGAAACCTGTGGTACAGTGGTTAGATGCTCACTTAGGATGTGAAAGGTCCAGGGTTTGAATCCAGTTCAGGTAAAAAAGAAATCATTTTAAGTGTCTTTTTTTAGTGACTAACATTTTTTTTTAAAAATTAGCTGTTATATAGAGTGCAATGTTTTAGTTTTAGGAAAGACTTTATAAAGAACTTTGTGTGACACCAAAGGGCAAAAAAGGAAAATGTCAGTGGTTCTACCCAGATGCCTGCTTCTTCCTGAAATAATGAACATAGGCGCCTGAGGTCTTCCTTCACCATTAAAGCAAGATAGTCGCCATATGTCCTGTATTGTGTTGGTGCAACTTCAAACCCAACAAAAAAAGAAACAATTTAGGTGTGGTCTGCCCATTATTATACATGTATTGCGATATATTATGTATATATATAGTAAAGTACATATGTAACAACAGATATCGAACATACTGTACACATGATATTACGACACAATACTAAGACATATGACGAGCAAACAATCAATTTATACATTTTGATATATTACCCTCGTGACACATTGTATATAATCATTTGAATCATATAAATTTCAGGGATTGAGGAAGCTTTCTTAGAGGTAGCTAAAAGACTGATCAAATTATATGAAACCTCGCCAGGGTCGGGACTACAGTCTCACAGTCCGGAAAATTCTCCAGAGAAAAATGATGAAAGGATTCATATAGAACCGCCTTCTAGACACAAAGGACCGCCTCCCAGTGAACAAAACCAGTCCAAATGTGCCTGCTAGTGTAGTTAAACTCCACATTAGTGAAACCAGTCTAATTTTTTTAGTGTTTGCATATCTGCTTGTGTATATGGGACCCAAAAGGTCACATGGATCAACTAGTCTAAAGTTTAGGAAAAACAAGATATTTGATTGGTTGATTTTGAAAAGAGATTTTAAATTAACCAATGGCTGAAGCTCATTTCACCAGACTGTTTCATATTTATATATCATTAAGTTTGGTCATTAAGAAATTTTGTCATTAAGACATTGTTTTAGTTACTTTTTTAACCATATTCACAATTATATAGGCACTATAAATATTCGTAAATTAGGTTTTACATGCTACACTGTCTGGGAATAATAATTGAGTGTCTTGCCATTAATATTGAGTGTCTGGTATTAGTGTTTGGCAATTGATATCAAGTGTTTGGTATATATATCAAGAGTTATGCAATTGAAAATGATAAAATTCATCATTTATTAGGGGAAATTCAAAATAATAAGTGCTCATTAAATAGCGCACACAGCAGACCAAAGTTCTGACTAAATTGCAAACACAGCAGACCATGTTACATGACCTTGGTCTACATTGGTGTTGCAAAGGTAGATATTGCAGCCACCAAGTAGGTTAAGGGTTAATTGATCTTGCAAGTTCATGTGCCTTTTCGAGAATGTCTTTTAGTGAGCATGTGGGTGAATGTGGGTGAATGTGTGTGTGTGTGTGTGTGTGTGGGTGAATGTGTGTAAATTGTAATAATGTTTTTTTTTGTGTGTTTAAGCATTGTAGTTTTAATGTTCAAAGTGTGTTGTTTAGATTAGTTATAAAGATATTGTTAAAGTAAAAGTAATTGTACATGTTATTGTTAGTGTTATTTATATTTTTGATAGATTATTTTGCTGCTCATCTCGTGCAAGTACATGTATGTGTATATAAGCTGCAATGTACATATAAGCTAAAGACACTATACATGTATATAGGTGAGAAATATAATGAATATTTATTTTTAGAAACATTTTGAAATTTGATCAGTCAAAATATTATTTTGTGTTCATTAGTGATAAAGTCAGCATTTATTTTTTTTCCAGTTTAAAATGTAACATATCTAGTAGATACCAATCTATAAAATATTCTCTCTGATTTAAAAAAAACACTGATCTCCGCTGTAGATTTAAACACTGCCAGGGATATTAAATTTGTGTCTTTTGAGGTTACAGAACAGACCTTAGATTGAGACTATATTGTCTATTTGCAAATAAACAGAACATAAAAACACACATGTTACAAATGTTAAAGGGACAGTTAAGCCCCAGAAATGCTTTTATTGTCAAAAGCGTTATATTCTTTGTATCCTGTTATAGATTGAAAAAAAAGTTACTCTTTGGCCAATTACCTGAATCAGCACTTAATTACTTCTGTTGCTTTTCTAGCAATAAGTGAAAGTTATTATGATTTAGTATTTTGCATTGAAATCAAAATACTACTTTGTTTACATTTTGCTTCTTTTATGACACATTATATCATATTCATCACAATTTTTTTAATTGGTAATAAGCATCTAAAATACACTTATGCCAGTATGTTAACATTACTGGTGGGCTCATTTTTGCTCTTTCAAAAGAAGGGATTTTTTTTTTTCTGAGACTTAGTGTGCCTTTAACATAATCTTACATTATCTGAAATTTATACAAAGCTACAGTTTAATAGTACATGTATTTATAATGCAGCTTGTTCTTGTACGGTTATCATATTGACCTACTTTATGATTTTAAAAATATTGTATTAAAGGAATAAATTTTTGGAATATTAACATAACGATTTAATAAGAAAAATAATAAAAAAACTGCATTCTTGCATTAAAAACTGATGAATCCCTCAGGATTTATATAATCTTTTGTCCTGTGGAATCAGGCTTTAATGTGTCTTTATGCTTCTGCAAAAAAAGAGGCATTGACCCTTTATTCTGTCTACAAATATGAAGTGCCATAACATATGATAACAAAAAGTGTTGAATTGTTCTTCTTCCATTTTAAATTACCTGCCATGCAAATTATTTAAGGGACTCCACTGAGGTTTTTTGGCATCATGAGACTGAATATATTTTTTATTAATATTCCCTCTCATGGGTCTTGATATACCAATTAATTATAGCTTGTGTAAGATTTTAAGATTATTTGCTCACTCCATTTTTTCAGACTAATTATTCTAATTGTGAAAAATGACCCAAAAATTCCCTCAAGCCAGGCTTAAAACAGCACAAAAATATGAATGTTAATTCATTTTGAGTACTATGTCTATTTCTTAATTATCTTTTGTATATCCTTCCTGCTTTAAGTGCCCAACTGATCTATGTAAGAAATTCAATTTTTATGTTTTTACACTTTTTGACATCAGCTATTAGAGTTCCTTTAATATATCATCCTTATATATATGCGATATGCTTCTGTTAAATTATTGATATTATTTTCAAGTATTCCAGTGAAATTATTGTATATTGTTTGACTATTAGATATTCAAGAGATTTTTTTTTGTCTTCAACTTTTGTTTCCATATTCAGTACACAATTATCAGCACTTTTCTATGGTGGCTGATTTGGTATGCCTTTTGTGTTGTCAGACTTTCGTCTTGTCATCCTGTCGCTAGCGTTTGGCGCTTTGTCGTGTTGTCGCTAGCCCCAACCCAACTAGATGCACAAAAGCGTACCAAATCAGCCACCATACTTTTCTGTCCTGAATAAACTAGCTACCCTGACCTACTGAATAAAAAAAATATCTTGTTATTTGACAGCACATGCCAGTTAATATAACAGCATTACTAAACTTCCCTGACCTTATAAAAAAAATTATCTTGTTATTAAATGACAGCACATGCCAGTTAAACAATAGCATTACTTTTTATTTGCATAGGGAACTTATTCTTTCTGAGCAATGTTACGTGTTTGTACGATATTCAAAGAAATACTGTGATGTAAGCAAAGGTTGTGAGATTTAATCAGGGTTTTGTATAGATTTCTGTGATTTTATTTTTCCTCTCTCTCCCTCTCTCTTCACCTTAGTTCAAATAACTGACGAGCATTTCACTAACATTCCATCAGTTTTGCGTGTCTTTTTATGTAAATTTAGACTTGCGCAACACGTAAATTTACGTTAGTTGCATTTCACTAAATAGAATGTGCAATTTACGCCAGTAATAAATGAGCGTAACATAACGTTTAAACTTATGCAAATACGTGGCTAAGAAAGTTTAGTGAAGCCCAAATAAATACAAAGTTCTGCTTACGCAAAAAGTTACTATCAAACTGGAGTTTGGTTAAGCAAGTATGTTAGTGAAACGCAACCCTGGTTAGCAGTAGTAAAGATATGTCGTCAAATGAAAGATGTTATAATTTTTGAACCACGCTGTAGTTTATAGAAAGATTAAATGATTGGTGTATTGTACAATGTACGTAGAGAATATTGATTGAGTGTAGGTTCAATACTGAATTTACTGAACAAGTTGAATAAAATTATATAATGTGAGCCTCTGGCGAGCATATTATTTTATTCAGCAATTTCACTAAATTTAGTAATGAATCTACTCAAATATATTATTCTATTTATCATATACCAAAAATTAAAACTGTTCGAAGTGGAAAATAATATATTTTATTTAAAACTTCAATAAATTCAATTTTAAACTTGCACTCATTCAATATCCTCTTATTTGTTGCAAGGTGAAATAATTGGTATACCATACTGTACTTTATGTAGACATTTTCGTTAATGATATTGTATCAAAACTTCATCAAATGTTTTGGGCTATCCACAAGTATACCAGTTGCTATTGCCATGTATATTTATAATTTCATATTCTATTTTGTTTTTCTTATTTGTATTTTCTGGTACAGGGTGTATTATTTTCATAGGTCTAACACAAGGAATACATAATTCTTAAAAAAAAAAAATTAAATATCTACTTAATCTTTTTACGTTTTGCTTTAAATTAACATTTGTTATAAATTTTTTTATCTGCCAATACTCACTAGAGGCTTAATTAGTACTTGGTATATCAAATGTATTCATCAAACAAATGCTTGCAGTTTGCCGTTTACAAATGTATTCTTTTTTTTTCCTCCTCACAAACCAACCACGCCAATCATGCCATCAAGCTTTGATAATTCATAAAAATCAGCAAAATGTTTTAGACTTGATTATATCAAAATGTTATGATGGTTATCATCTCACCCATCAAAATTTCATTATTATGAGCCGCGTCATGACAAAACCAACATAGTGCGTTTACGACCAGCATGGATCCAGACCAGCCTGCGCATCCGCGTAGTCTGATCAGGATCCATGACGTTCGCTTACCAACTCTTTTACAAGTAGAGAAACTGATAGCCAACAGTATGGATCCTGATCAGACTGCACGGATGCACAGGTTGGTCTGTATCTATGCTGGTCGCAAACGCACTATGTTGGTTTTGTGACGCGACTCACGTAATTGATAGCAGTAACATAAAATACTTTTTTTTTTAATACGCAACATAATTATTTAATAAACCTTCATAGGCAACCTTTGTAAGAGGCTCTTATTATAGCATTAGTTTCAAATCTTTATAAAGGAAGACTTTGCAATAAATATAAGAACACCTCTTGCCAGTGGGCTGCAGAGCACCTGTTAATCAACGTTAATTGATAATTTTATCACCCCAAGGTCAGCAGAAATATAACTCATTTGAGCATTTTTATAACAAGGTTATACTTATACTTATTTACATCATTTATTTTGCTTCATTAAGATATTTAGTTAAATTTGTTATGTAACTTTTAAGCTTATGAAAAAATAAATAAAAATATAGATGAAATCTGTAGTATTTGTGTTTTCATTAATCACTCCATACTCCTATGGAGACAATCATTATTTGTAATAACCTTGGACTGAAAGTAGTTCTACGACATATTAGATGTAAACTAGAAATGTGTCATCATGCCACGGATGCCCCCGCATGCAGCCAAAATTTCAGATGATGCATTAATGATTTTTTTCATTTTAAGTTCAAAGCCCTTAAAACTTTTCAATGTTAACACAAACCATTTTCATACAATGTTCAAGGCACTGAAATTATTCAGTCTTAACCTTTTAAAAATAGCATATTGCATATTTGTAGCCAAAATAATGGCTAAAAGTATCAGTGCTGAAACTGAAAGTTCAAAATTTTTCCAACATTCAGGAAAGATAAGTTTGTCTAAAATCATTGAACCACAACCAAATTCAAACTTAAACAGCTTATTCCTAAGATGTATCTATATTATTTTCAAAGTGAAAGCGACATAACTCTGCAAAAAAATCATCAAACCATGACCAAATTCCAACTTGACCTGCCCATTCCTTTGACATATCCATATGTCAAATTTAAGTTGAATATGTAACACTGTTGGGTAGATAATGAACAGAAACTGTAAATTTCATATTATTTTCAAAGTGAAAGGGGCATTACTCTGCCAAAAATCATTTAACCATGACCAAATTCGAACTTGGCCTGGGCATTCCAAAAACATATCTATATGTCAAATTTGAGTTGAATGTGTTGTACCATTGGGGAGATAATAAACGGAAACTGAAAATTTCATATTACTTTCAAAGTGAAAGGGGCATAACTCTGCCAAAAATCACTGAACCATGACCAAATTTAAACTTGACCTGCGCATTCCTTTGACGCATCCATATGTCAAGTTTGAGTTGAATGTGTTGTACCGTTGGGGAGATAATGAACGGAAACTGAAAATTTCATATTGTTTTCAAAGTAAAAGGGGCATAACTCTGCCAAAAATCATCGATCCATGACCAAATTCGAACTTGACCTGTATTTTCTCATGACATATCCATATGTCAAGTTTGAGTTGAATGTGTTGTACCGTTGGGGAGATAATGAGCGGAAACTGAAATTTCATATTATTTTCAAAGTAAAAGGGGCATAACTCTGCCAAAAATCATCAAACCATGACCAAATTCGAACTTGACCTGTATTTTGTCATGACATATCCATATGTCAAATTTTGAGTTGAATGTGTGCAACCGTTCTTAAGATAATGAACGGAAACTGATGATGACGGAATGACGGAACAGGGTAACACTATATGCCCCGGCCATTACATGGCGGGGGCATAACAAAAACAGTGTAATCTTTGAAGATGTCGAACAATAATGACCTGGCACTAACGGAATATACAGACCGCACTGACGGAATATATAGACTACAGGGTCAAATGCAAAATTACCAGGTCAATTTTGTTGGACAATTATGTGCGAGAATATTATCTGTGAGTCTGACTTCCAAAGGAAAATTATGTGTATTTTGGTAAAATTACAATTGAAAATGTCTGATAATCATAATTTAAAATCGCCAGCTTTTTAACTAGTGTCATTTGCAATACGATTGCCAAGTAGTTAACACATCAGTCTAGCATGCAGAACCAGTAGAACTACCAAACTTATGTAAGCTAACTGAACAGCTTCCTTAAATGAAGGAATAATTTAAACCTACAACCATGAAAAACAAGTAATTTGTTATAGTCCAATTGCACTGCACATTGAAATTATGTGCTATTTTGTGTATATTTGAAGTTATCTCCCCTCTTGAAGCCGGGTTCTAACCCAGTACAAAATATCTCAGAATCCAGTTTTGGCACATCAAAACATTTTGACAAGTGATTCGGTTATCAGCAACCTTACCAATAAAGCCCTTCACAATATATCAACACAACACAGGTTATCATGTAGATGACTGATTTAATGGTATTTTAAATAATGATATTAAGAAAAGAAAAATATTTTTGACTGAAACCAGTCTGTCACAATGAAATCTGTAACACAGTCTATCAGGATGACAAAAAGAGAACCAGTCTAACACAATGAAAACTGTAGCACAGTCTATCACAATATAACCATTGTAATCAATCCTCTACATGCTTTTTTTTCTTTCTTCATTGTCTGTTTAGTGTTGCTTTCGTCTGAATGAACAGCCTGAAAATCACAAATAAAAGAAATATTTTTTAGGCAATCGAAAAAAAACAATCAACATTAGTTTGCCATTGCACTACCCACTACTTTTTCTGTATAGGTAGATATGTATGTTTTTTGTTAATAATATTCATAAATGTGAACTTTCCCATTTTAAGCAGGAGACTTCCACATTCTGCAGCCACATTTTCAAAGATTTTTTCATAAAATAAGGGGTATTTTCACAAATTAAAGAAATCTCCCTCCTTTTGATATCAGAACTTTCTTCTTTATTTATTGCAAATTCTAAAATCTCCCTCTTTTTGAAGAAAAATATCCCACAGAATAACAAGTTCATCTTGATTTATTATGGTTATCTTCATTTTCCATTTTAGCTATAAACAGGACATTTCTAATAATTACATTTGTTTCATGGGCAGAAAGTTGTGGTATTTTTTTCATCAGTTACAATAACATTGCTCGAGTCATTTAGCAGGGCATTTATAGTTGTATATTAATCTTGCAGTTGATGGTAATGACAACTATTCTTAGATCTTTCAAGTTTTCAGCTACCAAGCAATTTGCATCTGTAATCGTCCAGAGATTAAATTATTTGATGAAATGTTGACCTATGAAAATTAGTCAGTATTATTGTCTGAGAAATAGTTATATTCTCAGTCCGATGGGCATACTGAGTTACTCATGACTTTAATTAGTGATGTTCCGATTGTCGCAAGTCGCCGATAATCAGTTACTGTTATGTAAAACGACAATAATCGATTCACAAAAATTTGTTCCGCGACGTCGTCGAAAACGTTTAAAGTATCAACAGGAATTAATTCTGACGTTAATTTTCTTTTTGGAACACCTCACCGATCGCAAAAAATCATCTCAGAGAAAATTTTGAGTTGAACAGGATCAATAAGAGATTTGAACAATAGTAATATAATGTGATGTGAATGGTATTATTTGACATCCATTGAAAAACAAGCAAATTCGTTGAATTTATATCCCCCGCCGAGTACTGGTTAATATTAACACAACAACTGAAGACATAAGGCTATGCAACAGACCAGAACCATTTGATCAACTTTGGCAGGGGACCACCCTAGGATCATTCCTGTAAAGTTTGGTTGCTGTGCAGTCATTTGTTTCTGAGGAGATGTTGTTTAAAGAAATTGCTGACAACGCATGACGACGGACGGTGGGGGATCACAATAGCTCACCTAGATGTAAAAACATCTTAATCTCCAGACTTCATTATTCGTAATTTAGTGATGTTGATCATTATTCCTGTAAAGTTGGTTGATTCTAACTCAAGCACTCAAGGATCAAATAACAACATAATGAAACAGTTTTTACTAAGTCAAGGGAAATAACTCTACAAAATACTGGATAAAACCACAAGCGAAACCCAAGGAACAAACTAAATATGCTGAGCAACTTTCCAATAAGGTTTAATGACTCTATGTCAAATCCTTTTTGAGTTACATGCGACACATGTTGAAAATTGCAAACATTTTCTAAGTCAAGGGCAATAACTCTAAAAATACTAAATAAATCCAGACGAAAATACCCAGGTGCACAACTACACATGCTGATCAACATTCCTGTAAAGTATCATGACTTTAGGTCAAATACTTTTTGAGTTACATGTGACACAAGTTGAAAATTGCAAAATTTTACTAAGTCAAGGGCAATAACTCTAAAAATAGTAAAAATATCCGGACGAAAATACCCAGGTGCACAACTACACATACTGATCAACATTCCTGTAAAGTTTTATGACTCTAGGTCAAACACTTTTTGAGTTACATGCGACACAAGTTGAAAATTACAAAATTTTACTAAGTCAAGGGCAATAACTCTAAAAATGCTAAAAATATCCAGATAAAAATACCCAGGTACACAACTACACATACTGATCAACATTCCTGTAAAGTT